ACACTAGCTGGATAAAGATCATATTCATACATATGTGCACTTAAAAATCGACTTTGTGAAAGTTGAAATATAGATGTATTATCAGCTGTATTATGTAGAATTCTAGCAAAGATTTTTGGATAATTTGATTGTAATAACCAACGATCAAAAAAATCAGGACCTGACCATGAACCAATACGATATTTACCAAGTAATTCATCTGGTATAAGAAATCCATATGGATGATCACGAAGAAAATCCTGAAAAATTTTAAAATTATCATTTAAAAATGATCTACAATGGATTATCTTACTATAATAATAGTTAATGTATTATTTTTAGTGTTTGTTGATTTTTCCATATAATAATCAGCCATTCGTAATATTGCTGTTGCTTTTGTTGTTTCAATACTATCATATAATTCATCAATTTCAGTTGCACTATTAACTGATTTAAGTATTGGATGTGATGTACTCATTGAATCATCAAACATAACTGATTGAAGTTCTGTAACAGCAAATTGATCATGCTAAATAAAGAATTTTTATATGAATCGAAATTTTTGTTTTTTATTAATTTACAATATTCCATGCTGGATAAGCAGCATTGACTGCATGATATTTTAAATAATTAGCAATTGCTTCTTGTAGCCATAAATCTGTCCACCATTTAAATGAAATAAAATTTCCATACCACTTTAAAGAAATATTAAATGTTAAAGATTAGTATAAACAAAAAGAGGTCGAACCTGTTCAGCTAATTCTTTAGCAATTAATAAAGCTATTCGTTGATGTTCAAGTTCTGATGTTGTCATGTAATTATGAAGAAGTGCTTGTTCAGTAAATATAATAAAACCCCAATGTGATACTGCATCAGATGGATATTCAGGTACGGCAAGAATATCTAAATTATATTTAAAACAAAAAAAATGATTTCAAAAAATAAAAATTCATTCTAACCTATTTTCTTTGGTACAATATGTGTTTGAATATCTCGAAATATATTTAATAAAGCTTGAAGAATATTTTTAGTCATAAGTAAAGGTGCATCAACATAGATTCCATTGTCATTTGTAAAAAATTGTTTTCGTGCCCATAAATTAATCTATTATAAAAACAAATGGTATTAATTAAATTTCCTTTTTTTTATACATACATCAATAGTATGACCAGTTACTGGATGAACCACAGATGCTGATCTACGATCAAAATCATCGGTATAAAATACTGCAAAAGCCGTTAATGCAGTTGGTATGGGTGGTACTGTTTGAAATTCAGTTTGAAGCCAAGCTCCATCGACAAAACTTTCCTAAGAAAATCAATAAAGAATAGGATAAAAATGATATACTTGGAATTTTCTTACTTCTTCATCCCAATTACTTAAAATTTGAGTATTATTATCATGTTTTACAGTTAATTGAAATTTCGTTTTAAAACCAGGTTCATCAAAACATGGATATGCTTCTCGAGCATGTACAGGTTCAAAATGTGTTAATATAATTCGAGATTTCCTAAAATAAAACAAGAAAATTAAGTAAGAATAATTTTTTGTATTTACTGTAAACCAAATTGATCTTTATTAAATTGACTTTCAAATAAACCAGTTCCATGAATATTTAATGCTCGAAAGAAAGAAATTTTAACATCATATGTAACATCTTTTTCTAATTGTTCTGTTACACGTATAACAACTGTTTGAGTATTAGGAAATGGTACAATACATTCAACAGTTAATTGTGTATCATTAGGACTTGAACGTTTCGTTACGAAAACATCTGAATATAATAATCCATCAGCATGAAGAATAATTTCATTCGTTGGAGAACGAACACCAAGAACAATATCAATTTCACCACTGTATGTATCAGTTGGTTGATTTAATTGAAATAAATCTAATTCTAATTGATAGTCTTCAGGATAGACATTTGTTGGTAATCGAGGTTTGTTCCATGGTGCACTTGGATCAAGAGCTGGACAGCAGCCAGGATTCATACATAGTTCAACTTTTTTCGGTGTTAAACTACGTTTTGGTCGAGAAATATAAATTGGTCTTGCTGTAGGTTCTTCTGATTTAACTTTTTCGGCATTATTGGTTACATAACAAATTGGACTTTCAGTCAAATAGAACGATGTTATTGAAACCACGAATAGTGATGAAAAGAAAATCACAATTAGTAAAGCACATGTCGATGTTGTTAAACTAATTTTTTTGCGTAGAAATAATTGTCGAGAATAATCATGATCGATTATAAGCAGATCATCTTGGCTACCCTCCATGATAATTTTTTATTGTGAGAAGAATATTGAAAATCTTTTCATTATAAACGGACTCTATTTTATAGTCGATGTTATAAAGATATCGTTTTCTTCTCAAGTGAGTTTTATAGATGTATAAAACTATTATAAATTTAAATGATCGTTTTATCAAACTTTATGATATTCAAAATGATAAAAATATGTAAATATTTGATTTTAATATATTTATTTGACTAATAATTGCAAGAATATATATATACATAATCTGATAAAGTTAATTATATCTGCACAACAACAAAAATTAATATTTTTTTTAGAGTAATATAAAAATAGAATATACAAAAGAAAATATCTATCTATCTGACTCGGTTGATTTATTCATTTTCACCATCTTCTTCTTCCTCTTCTTCGTCGGCTTCATTTTCTTGACGACTTGTTTGTAATGTTCGTTGATCATCTGGTATACTATCCAAATTAAATCGAAAATCTCGTACAGCAGACATTTTAAATGTTTCTAATAAACGTTTCTAAAAACAAAAAGAATTCAACACAATGCAAAATTTTATCGAAATAACATACATCTTGTTGTTTGCCTAATTCAAGTAATGATCGTTCATATTGTTCCATTTCAAAGACTAATTTCGGTACAAGTGTATCTTTTAATACACTTTTTTTCTATAGGAAAAAAAATATTAATTTTATTAGAAAATAAATTTCAATCTTTTACTTTTTTAGGATCTTTTTTATCAATTTTTTTCTTTTTCTTCTTAGTTGTTTCTTCTTCATCATCTAATTCCAAACTCTAAACAAAAAAAACAATTTTAACTGAATTTCTATTCTTGAAAAAATAAATTACCATTGTATAAGTTAAAAATCCATAACATGGTTGTTGTAATTGTGAACCAGATATTGATGCAAGTTTTTCAAATTCATCACGAATGGGTGTTTTATTTTTAACCATCTATGAAATATAGAAACGAAAGTCATTAAGAATGGCGGCGTAACGTCTCCTCTGTTTCGATAGATACCTGACGAGTAAATTCATCGAGAATTGTATATAATTTTGTTAATAATTTAACTATATGAATAATCATCATTTTATTTTTTAACCTACATTGTAAAATTTGTCCAAATGTTGTCATAGAATATGATAACTGTCCACAAAAATGTGTTATTTGATCATTTGATAAGTTTTGTGTTTGAATAATCCATTCAAGACTATTGATCATTCGTTCTAATTCAATAAGAACAATATTATTTAATATAACCATATGTGTTTTTTCATTGATAATAGCAAAATATGGTTGATGAACAAATTTTGTCTATTGATTAAAAAAACAATTGAGAAGAATTTCGAAAAAGATATATTTACATCTTCAGAAACATCTTCACATTGACCATGAATATCCATCGCAACTTTACGAAGTAATGGTGCATGATTACTTGTTTTTGATGAAAGTTTAAAAAGTAGACGAACCAATGCTTTACTTAATTGATGATCCTCTAGAATAAGATTGTATTATTTCTAATGAAAACTTTGTTAATCATACCATATTTTCCTTGCATACATGTTGAACTAACCCATTCAGCAAATGATTGATATTCATTTCGATCAATATGTTCACCATCTTTTAATGCTAATTCAAGAATATCAGCTACATAAATCAATGCTTTTAAACAGCCTGATGCTTTTATTGTCGATCCATCAATACCAGCTGTTTCGATAATTCGATTATATTCATCTTCGATTCGTTTATAAATTGCCTAAAATATTCATTTCGTTTTTTTTTATCTTAAATCGTTTCATTTTTTGTTTTACTTTAAAACTTTCAGCAAAACGAGCTGTTTGTGGATCAGTTTGACTATAACTTATATTCGAATCAATTGTATCTGGATCTCCATTCAATGCTTTCATTGCACTATCAATCATTAAAGCAGCTACACCACGAAAATTATTAACAATAATTTTCCATAATTCAACAATTAATTGTAAAATTTGTTCTGTTAATATTATATTCATATCTTTTGTTACAGCTTGATATAAAATTCTATTTAATATTAATAAAAGAAAAAGATTAAGTTAAGTGTGCTCCAAATTTGAAGTTTACGAAAAACTCTACCTGAAAACTATAATCATCTGTTCTTGATTGCTCTAATAGATACTCTGGACTAGAGATGTACGGGACCAAAAAGAAATCTACCGGGACCTATATTTGAATCTGGGGACTATATAATGAACTGAACTATGATGACCTTATTCAAAAAAAAATGAACCAAAAAGTGCTAATCGCCGACTAAACAAATTGAAAAACGAGTATTAAAGAATTATTTTAGAAATTCTATGAATAATTTTGGATCAATTGTCTCTAGGACCATATTAGAGATGAGCGGGACCAGTTTTGGTCCCGCACATCTGTGGTACAGTGACTGAGTCGACTGATGATGCTCAAGAAAAAAAACACACAGTTACAAGCTACAATTTATCGAAAAACTCGTAAACTCCAAATTTGGAGCTCATTTAACTTGACCGCAGAAAAAGATATTTTCATTTTATCTCTTAACTTACGTATGAAGATCAATTAACATCATTTGTAATTTATCTTGTCGCATATTTTCTGCATCAAAATAATATTTAATACCATTCGATGTAATAGAACGAAATTTTGCTAAACAACAACGCATAACATATGAACGATAATTATTATCATCAATAAGTGTATCAATATCAAGATTATTATTTGATGAATCTAAATCAGCATGAAACATTTTTGACCATAAAACTGAATGTAAAAATCGTTTTAAACATGTAAATGAAATAAGTTTTGGTGTTAGTGGTAAACGTAATTTTGCTTTTGACATTTTTTCATTAAGACGTGTTTCTTGATCCATTGATTTTAAAATACTTGCAGTTGATTCTCTTTGATATAAAACAAAAAAACAATTCATATAGAAAATATTTTTCTATAAACTTACAAATCTTTCATTCGCATAAATTTATATTCAATAAGAACATTACATATATCAATACAAAGTGTATACATTTGTGGACTTGTTTTATCTTCAGGTAAACCTTTAACCTGAAAGAAATTTTACGAAATAAATATTTAAATTCAATTGATAAACTTACACCAACTGAATCAGTAAATTCATCATCATCAAATAAAATAATTAATCGTTTGAAAATATCTGTCGCTTTTTTTAAATAAATTGCAACATCCGGATCTTCATCAAAGATTTTTGAATTCGATTTTAAAAGACAATCAGCACGATGTAAACAAAGACATAAACAATGAAGTAAATGTGCCTGAGAAAATTGAATTATTTAACAAAAAAAAATTATTTAAACATTTTCTTACAAATGGTTCAATAATTTGGATTTTATCATCACGTTCAAGTAAACAAGATAATAAATTTAATGTACATCTATCTTCAATGGGTTCGTAGTATAACGCAATCTATATACAAAAAGAGTTGACAACTTATGTATCTCGAAAGTTTGATTTACCTGAGAAATGAGCATATCAAGAATAGGTGCCATTAATATTGGACTTTTACGTAGAACAGGTAATAAACCCTACAAAAATTATATAAATTTTCACTGAAAATCTCTGGTTTTATTTCAATACTTCATAGACAGCTAATCGAACATCATATTGTTGAGTAAGACTTCGTCTTAATTGCATTAATAATTCAATACATTGTCCTTCTGTTGAACGTTGTGTAGAATTAATCGTATTCATTTGTGTTGCACCACGCTATAGAAAATTCAGGTTGTTTTTCAATCGAAGAAAATTTCGAATTTCAAGAGACTTACTTCAGCTAAAGAAAACATTGTCATTTGACTAGCTTGAGCAGCTGGTGGTCGAATTAACCATTTGGCATGTTTTAATAAAATTAAATATCCATCAACAGCCATTCGTCGACAATCCAAACGACTTTAATAAACATATATCAAAATATGATTTTATAATATGAATTTTTGTAAATACTTACGGACGATACATAGCTGTTCGCAGTAATTGAAAATATGTTTCACGAAATGGTGTATTACCACTTAATTTAATAATTGGTTTAAATGCATCAAGTACATCATGTGCTAATTCATAACGCATATATAAAATTTGATCAAGTCGATCTTTTAAGTGTTCAGGCCATTTTACAAATCGATGACTATTTGTTTTCATTACATCATATAATTGTTCTAAAAATCTCGAGATTAATTTATTAAAATTAACAAGAATTATTTGTTTTTATACCAATAAAATGTTTGACAGTACGATCATTCGTTTTTGCTTCAAGTATTCGATCAAATAAACGATGTATAACATCTTCTTGAATAGATTTATGTAACTAAAATATTCCTCTTATTTTTAATAGTAAATAAAAAAAGAATAAAAATTATACTCGAACAATATCAGAAAGCCATTTTGAGGCCAATGTTTTTAATAATTCAATAACCGAAAATGATGATTCATTATTTAACACTTGTGATTGACTATAATCATCAAGTAATTGAAAACAAAAATCAATTAAACCCGAAAGAATTAAATCACCACCAAATAAACTTTTACATAAAATAAAATAAATATATTCATTTTTTTCTCGAATCTTTTCTTACTCCTTTTTAGCAAGTTGCAATAAATAATCTCGATAAAAATCATTATAATTTATTTTTGTAAACAGGATAAGCCAAAATGCTTCATTATTTTTTTCAAATGTTTGACAAACAAGATCAAATGCGGTTTTGAGTTGTTTTATAAACTAAATTACAAAATATATAAATTCGGACATGGTCTCTTCGCCAATAGGACAGTCATCATTAGAGCCCATCGGGTCCGGGTCCAAATAAACGTGGACCCGATGGGCTCTAAGTCATCATTAGCGAAATTCTAGAATCCCCAATTGAAGTGTAAAATTTACTTTTCCTTTTATTGCACGATCTTTGGGTAAAGCGAATATAAATGCCAGACAAAATGGAGAAAATAATTTCGATACATCATTACTTTGAATTTTCTATTGAAGAAAGAATAATAATAAAAATATGAGAAATAATTTCTTTACTTTAAATGTTCGTAATAATATCGTTCCAAGTTCAGGTGATAATTCAATAGCATTTAATATATGAACAATACAAAGACGTATATTTGATGTATATTGTTTATTACTAGAATGAATTAAAGGTAAAGAAAAAAATATAGAGAAAATTGAATATTTACTCATTAGATTTTTTATCAAGATTAATAAAATATTGAATTAAACGATCGAAAATATATCCACTTGAACTTGATATTTCATTTTCTGAATGATTATCATTACATAATTTAAGTATATTTAAAACAAATATTGGTAATTGATCGAAATTTAATTCAAAATCAATTGTAAACATTATATCAATAAATGTACGTTTTTCATTATCAGAAAATGGAAATGTTCTAAATTGAAAATAAAAATTTATCAATATCTTTCTAAATAATCTTATTTACTTGATTATTGCTATAAGACTAGCATAATTATCTTCAGTCCAACTAAATATGATAAAAAAACAAATTTTTTTAGAACGAAATAGAACTTTTTTTTACGTTGTATTTCCTAATTGTTGAACAACAGATTGACACATTGATGCTGCTGATGATGAAGCTGATTGATTTTCATCACGTTTAACTTGTTGTAAATAAATACTTCGTAATAATTCAATCATACTATCAAAATAAACATATATGTATTTGTATAAATAAAAATTTCTTTAACAAACATATCAGCATTTGTTGATGATTGAATTAATTTATCAATAATTTCATAAGTTATATCAAGTAAAGCTTCTGATGCTATATTATCAAGCTGAATATAGAAGAAACAGATAAAAAATATAGACAAGAAAATTCAATTTTGTTATACATAGATTATAATAAGACCAACAATCTTTGTAAATACAAGATGATGAACAGTTGTTGTTGTAGACGTAACAATAAGTTGAATAGTTTTTTTAATAAATGTTGGAAGAATAGTAGAATCAGATGTATCATCCAAACATTCTATAATTAAATATATTAGATATTCTCGTATCCGAAAATATATCTTATTCATAGATGTATGTAAATATCAACCATTTAGATTAGCTTTAGTTTATTACTACGTCTTTAGCAATTATGAAATATTTATTATAGACATCATTAGATCTGAGATATTTCCATAACTACCTTTTAGATATTGTTTAAAAATATCAAATGGTCGAGAATCTGTATTATTTGTCTCGATTGATGATCGAAATTTATTAATAAACTAAATCAAAAAAAAATATTTATCGTTTTTGTTTTTTCATTCAAATTCTAATGGAATATATCGTCTTGTGTTTTTGCACCTTTTCAAACTGATCATTAGTATTTAGAGATGAATTTGTAGTTCTTAAACGTTTTGACATTGTAGTATCATTTTGTGTTCTCTTCATCTAAAGAAATAAATCAAATAGAAAAATAATTATTCTTTTTTTTCTCGTATAAACGCATGTGCATGAAAAACATCAGAAACCGATCTTAAGCGTGGTGGGTTAACAAAAGAAATTCGATCGAATTTTTCATAAGGAAATTCTTTATTAAGAACTTGTTCAATAATTTCTTCAGGTTTTTTCGGTTTTGGATCACACCAGATAACCCAATGTTGAATATTACGAATTAAATAATATGGAAAATCATTTGGTGTTAAAAGTGGTTCCTTAATTGAATTTAAACTCGGAACAGCTATTGATTTTTGACTAGATTTATCAATATCTACATTCCATTTAAGATAATGTATACGTATAAAATCATTTATTGATCTATAGTCTTTCGCAACTAATTTTTGATGTTGAATATATCGTTGTGCACATTGTTCATCTCGCCAAAGTAAAGTTTTTTGTCCATTTTCAAGCCATTGTATTAAATCATTCCATTCAAGTGGTTTATTAGCAATTGCATTACGAGTTAATTCAATTGTTGATATAGATCGACAAGGCAGAAAACATTTTTTTATAAATCTATTCAGCATAACACAAAGAAAAGAAAACGAAGACGAAGAGGAGAAGAAGAAGAAAAAAAATAGACTGTTTAAAGCGATTCGTACGCCATCTTGTTACACGACTGCATAGACGCGATATACAACTCGTCAGCTGATTTGTGTTGTTGTTATTATTATTTATTGTTTATATATATTATTTGTTCATTTAACAATTAATATTCTTATTAATAATCTTCAATGATGGAATGGATCAAAGTTGTTTGACTAATTACACATATATTTCATGTTGTTTAATTCTGCTTCTAAATATAATCTATCTTGTTTTTAAATTAATCAAACTTTATCTACAACATCAGAGACGGAGACAATTACCTAGACAAATTCAAAAAATGACAACTACTACAAATGAAATAATTCCAACAACATCATCATCATCATCATCTTCTTCATCACGAATGGCAACGAGATCAACAACTATAGCATCAAGAACAACAAATAATAAAAATGGTTATGAACGTCTTACACAATTATATCCACATGTTGGTGATGATATACATTTACCAATGAAATGGAATAGTAAAGAGAAAGTACAAACATTAGTTTTACAACAAAATGATCTTGTTGTAACATATAAAGGTTGAATTCTTACATAAAATTTAATTGAAATCATTAAAAACCTTTGTTTTCTTTTTAGGACCTGGCAAATCACATAAAGATGCAGCTAGTGTTCGTTCTGATTATCCTATTCCACCATTAACCGGTATTTATTATTATGAAGTGAGAGTTTTAAGTAAAGGTCGTGATGGGTAAGTTTAATATATTTTGATATTAAGTAATTGATTTCTTTTTAATGATTAGATATATGGGAATTGGTTTATCGACAAGTGATGTAAATCTTAATCGTTTACCAGGATGGGATAAAGGCTCATATGGTTATCATGGTGATGATGGACATTCATTTTGTTCATCAGGCTCAGGTATTGTCTATGGACCAACATTTACAACAGGTGATTATGTTGGTTGTTGTGTTAATTTTCTTGAAAATTCCTGTTTTTATACACGTAATGGTTATAATATTGGTAAGCATATAGTTATCAAAACAAAAAGAAAGATAATTTATTTAATATATTTCTTTTAGGTACATCATTCCGAGATATACCAGTAATAGATTTTTACTCAATTAAATTATTCGTATATGTTTTGTATATTTATTATTCTAGACGGAAGTTTATCCAACTGTTGGTTTACAAACACCCCATGAAGCTATTGAAGCTAACTTTGGTCTTACTCCATTTAAATTTGATATAGAAAAATATATAGATGTAAATATAAAAATTTTGTGTTTAGTCTAATCAAAATTTTGATTTTATTAGGAATATCGAGAAAAAACTCGCCGAGCAATTGTTGAATGTACATTAAAAGAAGGCGAATTACTACATCAAATACAATTACGTCGTATTGTATCAACTTATCTAGTTCATTATGGATATTGTGCTACAGCTGAGCAATTTAATAAAAATGCTGAAAGTGTATATGCTGATGAATTAAATTCTATGAGAAATCGACAACGTAAATAGAAAATAAAATCTTAGAAAATAATATTTTATTTGTTTTTAGTTATTCAACATTTAATTCTTGATGGTCGTACAACCGATGCAATTGATAAAACAAAAGAACTTTTTCCTACGTTACTCAATGATAAAAATCTTTTATTCGTACTCAAAGTTCGTCAGTTTATTGAAATGGTTAACGGAACTGAAAGTGAAATACGTAAAACATCAATAGCATCATCATCTTCATCCTCATCCATATCTCAGACAACAACAACAGATGGTTCATCTGACAATAATCTAACTTCTAATAATAAAAATCGTTCGAACAGTCCGTCTTGTTCATCAAATAAAAATTCTTCGTGTCCACCATCAACAACAACTGAATGTTCATCATCAACGATAACAAAAACTCATACATCTTCTTCTTCACGTTCTCGTTCCCGTTCTAATAGTCCATATACATCAAGACGAACACAAAACAATACCACATCAGGAACATCACAAAATAGTAATGGCACATTGAATTCATCATCTCATCTCACAAGTGCAAATAATACAAAAGATTTATTACAAGGTAGTATTTAACGAATTCTATTTTTTTTTTAATATAAAATGTATCCTTTAGAAAGTAATAATAATGAATCAAATAATCATACAACAACAGTAAATTCTTTGCCATCGAATACGAATCCGAATGCTGTTGTTAATCTTATGGATATCGATGATAATCTTCATAATAATAACAATACAGCAAATGGTTTTAGCAATAATCATGGAACAGTATCTCATTCTGATTCTTCTACGACAAATCAAATCACTAATGGTCATTTACAATTAGATAATAATAATAGCAATAATCTAGTCATTGATCATAATAAAAATAGTAATGGATGTTCAACGAAATCTACTGATAATCTTGATGGTATGGAACATGATGGTTGTCTAGATTCAACTCATACAATGGATATGGAAACAACAATGTCATCAGATGTACAGAAAAAATCCACAATAAAAGAAGATGATCAACTTCTTGTTAGAATATTACAATTTGGTCGAGAATTACATGCACTTAAACAACAATTAATAGCTGAACATGGAGATAATCAACAGAATGATAAAATGTTGCAGGTAAATTTTCAGAAAAACAAAATCTGATAACTAAATTTTTTTAATTCATTTTTAGGATGCATTCAGTTTATTAGCTTATTCAGAACCTAAATCATCACCATTAGCTCATTTATTAGAACCATCTCAACGTGAAACTGTGTCTAGTGCAGTCAATAGTGCTATACTCGGTACGTTCATTGCAATATATTAAATAAAAATAAAAACTATATATCTTTTCTTTCTTTTATAGAAGCACATGATATGCCAAGACATCCAGCTCTTGAAGTACTTGTTGGTTATCTACATGAATGTGACAAATTAATGCATAAGAATAATATACCAGATTGTGCCTTTATTGACTTGAACAAATATATACGATAAAAAAAATCAATCTATGTAAATTTTGAACATTGTCGATTTGTTTATTTCTTTTATTATTGTTTCTGAACACATACATGTATTAGCAACATTTGTTCATTATAGATCATTTTGTGTTCGTGTGATTTTTTTATTCTAGAAACATTTTTGATAGGGCAAAAAAAACAAGATTTCTTTTTCATTATTATTATTATTATTATTATTGTAGAAGAATTAAACGAACACAAATGAGACTTTTATCGGACATAAAATCTATGTGTGTGTATGTACAGTTTTTTTCATTTTCTTGCTCTTTGTCTTTTTCCTTTTTTTTTGTATTTTGTTGTCAATTGATTGGGAACATCAGGACATTTTCTTTTTTTCGTTTCTTCTGTCATGTATTATATAAGCACGTGTAATTATAAAGAAAAAACTATTCTCATTCATTCGACTACTCACATATATATATATAGTTCTTTTGGTTTTTCTCCTACCAATAGTCATTGGTATGACTAGGCCATTTTCAAGTGTCTGTTGCTGATGGTTGAAATAAATTTTTGTTCTATAATTTACCACGAGAATCTAACGAAAGAGAAGGAAAAAAACACGTTTCTTATCTTTGATTATATAATATTATTTTTACTCTATAATATAAAAACAAGATAGACAAACAAAAATTTAAAAGAGAGATACAATATGAATTGGTTACGTACAGCTGCTTCAGCATATTCAAATGTGTCTGCTGATCCTTCATGGCCAAAATTTGATATTCTCGAAAGTAACGAGGTATAGTAGTAATATATTGAATAGAAATTTTTTCTTATAAGTATCTTCTCATCAAACACTTAGTCTTACGAGAAACGAAGTTATCATCCATTCACATGTGCGGCATATGCATTTACAGCTAATGATGGTGAAGAACCTGTTATGTCTAATTTATGGAAGTTAGTAAAGTATTCACAAGGTGGAAATGTCGATGGTAAAATGTTATATTTTCCAAATAAATAGGCAAATGATTTTTTTTGTTAAAGGTAAAACTCTAAAAATGTGTCTACCAATTATGGTTAAAGTTCGTCCATCATTAATTAATGGACGAGAAAATCAATTTACATTAATGCTAGTCCTTGACAAAGACAATCATAAAAATTCACCACCAATACCAACTGTTGATGGCGTTTTTATTTATCAACAATCCGAACAAATTCTCTATGCTAAACGTTTTGGTGGTTTTGCTAAGGAAGCTGATTGGAAACGTGAAACTAAAAATATATTAGAAATATGTAAAACATTTCCAATTAATCGTGAAGAAGTTATATCAGCAACATATGATATGCCAACAAAACTTCTCAATCGACATAATGAAGTTTTAGTTGCTGAAATGATTGAAAACACATCAGATGAAAAAACCGTTGGTATTTCTTAGTTTTTTTTTCTAATAAAAAACTCTATGAAATTTCATATTAGTTATTCTCATACATTCATTGTTGAGGAGAAAGATTTTATCTAATCTGTTCTTTTTTTCTTAAAGTAGATAAATATAAAATCCATCACGCACAAACATAGACTTATTAGATATGCGTGCATTTAAATCTACAAGATAGTTTAAATATATTTTTATTCTGACAAAAGAAAAAAATGCATCATTTCGACAATAAATAAATAAATAAAAAAAAAGAAAAAGATTAGATCCCATATATGTATATATATGTATATAGATGTAATTAATCAATAATATCATATGATGATGATTCAGTTGATGATGATGGAGATAACATTGATGCCATTTGTTGATAATAAATTTTAAAAAGTTGTTCAGCTAATGATAAAACTTGTCGAACATCAAGTGTTTTTTGACGTTGTTGAATAGCTTCAAGTGCTTCAAGTTCATCATGAGCATCGAATAAACATGAACGAAATAATGATATCATTGCAACACAAACAAATAAATCAAATGAACATCCAAGTTCTTTATTTAATTTTGAATTGGTTTCAATTGATATTGATGAATAACTACTAATACCTTTTTGTTCAGCTCGTTTCAATTGTATATCATGTAATAAACGTTCGGCAGCTAAAGAATTTTCTTCAAGAAAATGACTACATACAACTTCGAAACATATTAATGTATCTTCTTCTTCAGCAAATTCACGGCGAAAACATAAAAATAACCATCCTAGAAAAAATATTATTCTACGTATAAAAAAAGAAGGAAGAGATTTTCATAACATACGATGACAAAATGTCCATAATTCAACATTTAATGATACAATACGATCATATAATAATTGATCAACAATTTCAACAAGTTTAGGTAATTGTTTGATTTTAAATGCAATACCTTTTTCTGTAAAATGTTCACCTGATTGAGTTATATAATAAGCAAAGCAAAAATAAGCTTCATGCTCATTATAAGAAAATACATGAAGAAAACAATGTGCCATATCATTCATTCCTAAGAAGAACATATATTAAACTATTTACTTAAATTTTCGAATAAATACCTTGTGAATAACCTATAGTTGGATTATAGCTAGCAAATGCTACAAGTAAACGTGTAAGTGGTCCATAATTATAATCATCTGGTTTCTTTCTTGACGATATAAAATCTGTTCGATGTAAATCTTTAGCTATAAGTCTTATATGATGATCCATATCATTCCAATCTAATTTTGGTCTATATGCTTCAATACGTTGTTGAACAGAAAAAAACATTTTACTTGGACTAAGTGGTTCTTTGGATTTATTCGATGATAGATGTGACAATTGTGCACGAACTAAATATGATTTCCATTCGAAATAGATAATACAAAAAAAAGAATTATCATACGTTCTTCCGGCATTTCTTTTTGACATCTTTCACACATAAATTCATAACGTAGTTTACGTTCAACATCAATTGTTTCTTGTTCTCTAAATTGAAGAAAGATAAAAAAATAATTTTAAATATAATATTAATCTTACATTCTAGAAAGAAGTGGTGGATAAAAACCAAATAGATATTTCCATGCTTGTGGTCGAAGGTCATTACTTATACCACCTAAATAATAAAAAATGTATGTAATTCATCGTCGATCAATATTTTATTAAATATCTATGATTCAATTCTGTAGAAGAATTATACAAATCAAAAATGAAGGCTTACTGTCTTATGACTGATACTGATGATTGTTAAGATAATCTATGACGAATTTTTACTACATAGACCTACCTCTCACCTTTGAAAACTGCTTTTCGAAATTCATGTTCTTTCACAAGTCGACCATCGGAATCAAAAAATGATTGAAATCGTTCGTTATCTAATAATTTCCAACGTTGATCTTCTATATTATTATTCATTATTATCTTAAATCAAAACTATATGTATGTAAATACGCAAAAAAAGAAAAAAAACGAATAAAGTCTAATGCGAATATTTTATTCCATGAATTGATCCCTTCGTACTTTTTCTCTTTATTTAACCAAATCATACAAAATAGTTTTATAATATACAACGACTTTATATATATACATATACACGCACACACACACACACACAAATGATAACAAAAAAAAGGAAAACAGATATTTTTTTTAACGACGATAAGTCTTCATTAAACGTATAATCTGCTGTTGCTGTTCATATAAATAATTATTATTTGTTTTAGCATTTTCAAGATCATCAAGCCAATGAGGATGTGTTGAAAATAATTGTTCACAATGTAAATAGAAAAATAAATAGAACCAGATTTCACTAACGGGTAATGGACGATTGGAATTATTAACACAAACTATGTTTGAATACATTTCTTCAGCTATATGTTTTGCTTCAAAAAAACTACAATCAGAACCTGAACGTTTTATTGCATCTAATATAAATGTTTCTTCTGTTGGTGATAAACTATGACAAACAAAATTTGAACACATAACAAGTGGTTGATCATTTGAATGACGAAATAATACAGATGGTGGAGGATTATTTGACGGCTAGAAATAAACAAAAATAAATTTATTTTTTTTTCTAAAGATTCAATTCACTTGTTCGGGTTCATTTTTAATTGTAATTCGACGTATTTTTACATTTGCAACAGTTCCATCATCATCTAATTTTCGTTTACTTCTACTTTGAGTTATCATTGTTTGAATAAATTGTTGATCATTTTGTATTGGTGGTATTGAAAGAATTGAAGCTAAATAATTTATATTCTAATAAAAATACACATATACACACAAAATAATTTACTATTATCTTCAGCAAGATTTGAATGTATTTCTTCATTGTCTTCTTCTACTATATCATCATCATCATCACCATCTTCATCATCATCAGCATTGTCCTCAAATTCAAGTTGAAAAAAATCACACGTGACACCTTTACGCATATTATCAGCTAATGTAAGTCTTTCGGAAGAATTTGAACATTTAATAACTTTCGATGCTTGTTTAATAGCTTCTTGAAATGATTCTAAATTTGCTAATGTTATATTCATCTCATATTGACTTGGTTTATTTTTAATCAAAATCTATTAAAAATAAATTTCCATGGTTTAATAAAATAAAAAAAGTTATTTTTATCTACTTCATTTGCTTTTAATTCTGTAATACGTTTTTTAAATTCAGCTACACCTTCATAAGGTTCTAAGAATTTACTATCAATAGCTCTAAATAATAATAAAAATGATAATTTAGAAGATTATTGAAATCTAGAATTAGACTTACAATCCGAGACTAAATGTTCCAAAAAAAAGTACTTCATATAAAGTTCGATTTGGTTTATTAGTTTTTTCCCATATTATGCCAGGCCAATATGGATATTTTTTATATTTACACCATACAACACTACCACAATCTAAGTAGATATTTTTGAAATAATAAAAAATTAAAATGAAATTTATTTATTTACCATATAAAGATATTACTGGAGAATGTTGTCCATGGGTTGATGATGATGATTTACTACTTGTACTAGCACGTTTTCGACCAGGAGGCATCTAGAAACGCAGGATTAATAAGAAAAATTCTGCTAGATTATTTATATAATAAAAAAAGTTCATTTCTTTGTCATAAAAAAAATAAAAATCATTATTAAAGTTATAAAATAAATGGAATAATTGCTTTGCGATTCTTTGGATATTCATCTCTGAATTTTTCAAGATAGAATCTAAATAAGAAAATTAAATTTCGATGCATATATATATCTTTATGTTAACATACTTATGATGATGAATTCCGCGACCAAAAGCTGTATTAGCCCATGTAAATACTGAAAATGCAATTGCTGGTAATGTCCCTGCACAAATAGCATAACCAGTCCATTCAATAGATTCAGCTAGAAAATTTGCACCGGAAACATATTCAAATAAACCACCTTGAAAAAACAAACGAAATAGTTTCAATAATGAAAATTTAAATGTATAACAATTACCTCTTGGAATTTGATAATCACGTTGACTATTATCTTTACGTAGATTTCTTAATATAGCATCCGATTGAAGATTAAGAATAAACCCGGTAAAGAATAGAATTGTACCAATTAGAAAACGTAATGAAAATAAATAATTATTTGGATAATTATGATAAACAATTAATTCTTCTGCGATTGAATAAGCATTTAAAGAACAGAATATAAATGCTAATATTGTTGTTAAATATGAACTATGTTTTCCACCACGAATTAACATAGGATAAATGAAGACTCTTTAAATAAATAAATAATCCATCATTATTGAATGTATACATGATTAGCTGTTCGTTTTTTTTCTCTCTTTATTTCGATATGCATCGATAACATACATATATACACGCTTAAACATTTATACTCTGTCTGATATTCTTTATTACATGATCGTTCTTTTCTTTCGTTCTTCATATCAAATATTTTAGTCTATTATCGTCTTATAATTAATTTTCCCTTCGTTTTTTGCTCGATTTCTAATTATCTTATTAATCTAATCAATCCATATTTAACATACCTTTGAAAATAATGTATTAGAAAAAAACTAATTATTATTAATTTTGTTATTGAAATCGATGACCAATTATTATATAGAATATAACATGGTATTACAAATGATGGAAGTTCTTGAATAAACCAAGCTAATCGAACAGGAATTCCGCTATTTGTTGTATTATAACGTCCATATGGTGCTTTGATATCAAGAATTACTTCCAAGAATAATACAACTGCTGCACCAATAAACCATAAATATGGACAAATATAACTGACGAATATATGATCATTAAGAATATATTCTAACATCTAAAATTAATAAAATACTATTGTTTTTCAAAGTAAATTATCATTAAGATATATGAAAATTCAAGATAATAAATACTTAGGTCAATAGTTATCATAATTATTGTTTTTTTTTGATAAATATTGAAAATAAATAGTAATAGTTTGTTTTATGTTTTGTTATGGTCCATTTTCTTTTCGCTATTTCAAACAAAGCAACACAAAAAAACCTATTGCTTAACCATATGTAAAGCGGTCACGAGTCAACGAAGCATAAAGTGTGTACATACTCGACGCAATTTTATGTACTAAATACTTTTTTTTTCTTTCTTTCTATAATGATATCTTTCACAAAGATTTATATTTCATATTAGCGACATGACAATTACAAACAAAAGAATCATAAGACTATACGTTTAAATTTAGAATCAAAAACAATAATATATATATCTAAAATATAGGAACAAAATCGATTAAAACATTCACCAGATTTGTTATATTCATATAGATTCGCCTGTAAACCAATCCGGTACAATTCCATTCTCCAAATATTTACTACGTGTAATTGATTGATCTTCTAATGTATCTAGTGCGCCAAAAATTGATCCTAAACAATAAATATATATACTAAAATCAAAACAAAGTCGGAATTTACCTCCTAACCAAGCGATATAATTTAATTGACCAGGTGGAGAATGAAATTTGAATTGTTTGATAGCTAATCGATTAATATAAGGTGATTGATTAATTAAATAATTTAATTCAGCATTGAATCGATGTAGAAAACCTGGCATTATTGCTGTACCTCCAATAATTAAAATATTATCAGCTAATTGTTGTCGAAGATCAATTGGCGCCTTAAATATACAATTATTAATTTAATCAGTTATATAAATTATCTATATTTACTTGAAGTAAAGTATCAAGTATCAATGTTACAATTGATTTTCCATCAATATTTTCTTCAAAAAGTATTTCACATGCAAATTCTCTACGTACATATAGATATAATTTAAATAAACATATAAAAAAAATAACTATACCGAATAATTCCTGGAATATGAATGATCGTATCTGTATTAAAGGGATAATCGATAGATGAAGTATATTTCAATGATTTATTCTTGGCGAAAATTTGTGCACGATCAAATGGTGAAATAAAACAACAACGAACTAAAAAATAATTCTTCTACTTATTATTTTAAGTATGAATAAAAATAAGTAAACCTTTTATGTCTTCTAAAATATCTTCAGATAGTTTTATTTTTGTTTCATTGAATAATTTTTTCTTTCCTTGATAAGTGACTGAAGCATATTGGTCAAGTAGAAATTGTATTTGTCTAATACAAAAATTATTTTAGATTTCAAAATGTAAATGAAGAAAATTTTCTTTTCTTTATATTCTTCCACTAGACAATGAAATATATTAATTTCCAATCATTGAATAATAAATCTGTGGGAGATATTTAAATCTTAAGTGTGAATATCACACGATTCTGTCGGCGTTTTCATTAGTGATAGTGTGAGTCATATCATATCTATTCAAGCTGATTCATTGAGAACTAAAGGTGTAAAATGTTAAAGATGGCAGAAGATTGTCAATGATAAATGTTTCTTTTCTCTTATATTTAATTATTATCTTTCTCTAGAGAATTATATTATAAATTTCTTTTTCTTATTATCAAATGAAATTTTCTCTAGAGAGTATAATGAACCTGTAAAGTTATGCATAAATATTTTTATCTTTTTCACATATGCATTTTCTTACTTATGAATAGCTTGACCAGCACAAGATAAACTATCAAATTGTATTGCCAATGGTATACCTTCAGCAACAGGCATGATTTGAGTTTCTTTATAGCCAACATCAAGAACAAGTGCTGTGTTTCGACCTGATGTACATGTTGCACTTAAATGTGATGGTATAAATACTAAAGATATTGCCTAGAAAAACGAAAATAGAAAGTTTTGCAAAAAATAATTTAGAAACATACTTCAAATTGTTTTAATAAAATATCGGCTAATAAATGTCGAATACGTGTAGGTGTAATTACTGATTCAACAATTACAATACGTCGATCTCGACAATTAATCAGACTATATCTGATTAGAATAGATAGAATTATAAAGCTTGTTTGTAAATATTTTGTATTGATTTACTTATAAAATATTAACCGAATTAATTCAGTGAGACGATCATCATGCGACATCATTGAATTAGAATTATATTCAAAGACAGATTTTGTCTGCGAAAGAAAGAAAACTATTCATAATTAAAAAACCATTCAATTGTATAAAATACTTTTCCATCGATTATTATACGAGTTGGAATAATATGATGAGGTGAAGAACTTCCCGCAAAACCAAATCTAAATCAATAAATTCTCTTCATAACGAGAGACATACAAATATTCAATCTACTTACTTTGTATAAGCTTGTCCAATATCAATAACAATTACTGCTTTTTCACTAGCTGCAAGACTATCAATAAAAGATGTCATTATTAAAAATCTAAAAAGATAAAGAAATGTCTATATACTTTTTTTTATGAATTCTTATCAAATCACTTGAGATTGTTCAGTTCAATTCGTGACCTAGTAACAATCTTTCAATACATATCCATTGATTTTTCTCTCTCTTAAGTTTAAGGAAACGAACTCATAACAAAAAAACATTCTATCATTTATGTATATCTCTATGCTAGCAAATAAACATTAATGGAAGAAGGAATCATTAAAACAAATGTCAAAATTAGTCAATGTAACCATCGTCGTTTAAATATGCAATATAAAATTGATTTAAATCATCATAAACAAAATCATTTTTCCAATCTACATTTATATGAACGTCAAGAGCAATTATTTAATCGTAAAATCAATCATCTTAAAAAAAGCCTTGCATATACTCCATTTTCTATTGATAAAGATACTAATGAAGAAAAACCATTAACGACACCAAATTGTCTTGCACGTATACAAAATCATTATCGTTTATTAAAATTTTCATCAGAAACTGAAAAACGTTTATTATATCAAACGCCATTATCTCAATTACAATCAACAAGAAATCATCTATTAACAAAAGCTGATATGTTTGAATCAAAAAATGTCGATGAACAACAAAAACAACGAAAAGATTTTCTTTTCAAAGAATTCGATGAACTTAAACATACCATTGATGATCCATATACGGTTATATCTGTACTTGCTGCACTCTCTCGAACATTTCTTATATTAGATTCTGGAACAGAATAAAATCTTTTCTATTGGACAAAAAATAATTCTATATTTTGAAATGATCTTATATTTAATCAAAATAACAAAACAAAAAAAAAATTCATTTTTCTTTTTTCTTTCTTCTGTTCATATATATGATGGAAATAAAAACAGATGGAAAATTTATTTTATTTTCTTTAAGCCACAGATTGTGCATTAGCAGCGATACGTGGCCATAAGTCGGCGCATTCTTTTGCAACTGGTCCTGTGATAGCTGAACCTTTCATTTCACCTTTGTTATTTACGATAACACCCGCATTATCTTCAAAATAGATAAATGTACCATCTTTTCGGCGAAATGGTTTACGTTGTCGAATGATGACTGCTGGCATGACTTTTTTACGTAAATCTGGTTTGCCTTTCTTTATTGTTGCTAAAATAGAAAATATATAAACGATGTTAAAAAAACAAGAATCATTATTAAAAAAAAAGAAATCTTACAAATAATCATGTCACCAACGCAAGCAGCTGGTAATCGATTAAGTCGAGCACCGAAACCTTTTACGGAGATAACAAATAAATTTTTTGCACCTGTATTATCGGCACAATTGATTACGGCACCAACAGGTAAACCGAGGGAGATGCGAAATTTACCACCTCCGACACCACCACGACCTCGTTTGGCCGACATATTTATATATTATATTTATAAATCTAGAAATATGAACATTTATATATAAAATAACAAACAAACCAAGTCCAGACTTAAAATGCTTTTTATATTTTTCAATATAGACGCAAAGAAAAAGTAGAATAGTAGTAGAGACGACTAACAAACAAAACAAAACGAAAAAATATAGAGAAAAAAAACGAGAAAGAAAAGAAAAAAGAGAAGAAGAGACCATTTGTTTTTTGTTCGTAAAGACAAAAAATGTACAAGTTTATACAACGAGACAATAAATCGTAAACTTTTATAACAACAATGATTGTAACGAGCATCATTAATTCTTGATTAAATTAAAGCTCGATAGAAAGAAAAAAGAAGAAGAAGAAGGAAACAAAAAAAACCGCACAGCAGATAAAGAAGTAGAAAGATTAGCTAATGATGAAAAAGTTTGAAATAGAGAATATCACACACAAATAGTTTCTCTATATTCAAATATATAATGTGTTTAAATAACAACATTAATATTTCTATGTGCTGTTGAAACAAATTGAGAAAACTATAAAACGAACAAGAGAAATAATCGTAGTTACAAGAAAAACGACCAAAGATAGTCGAGCACAAAAGAGACGTCAGAAAAAGAGAAATATAAGAAACGAAAAAATTAATAAAGAGATTCACATGTGTGCTGCCGTAGATACAATATTTGTCGTAGTAGTAGGATTAATTGTCGTCGTCGTCGTCGTTGTTATTGATGATGATGTTGTTGTTGTTGTTATTGTTGTTGTCGGATTTGTATTAGGATTATTTAAACTTGGATTTTTTAAAATACGTTTCGCTCGATAGTCATATACATAGCGACAAAAGAATATGTTTTGATTATCGACATTTTTTGATGGTAATAGTCGATGTTGAATAGTGGGAGTATTTCTGTTTAACAGAGATTTTAACTGTCCAACTGATTCAGGATGTTCAAAAAGATCTGATGGTTTTTCACGTATACAGTAACTATATAGAGAAAAAAAAAGAGAGGATTCTTATCTAATATTCAAAAGAATATTTTATGTTAACATTTTAATGGATCAATCATAGACTCATACTTGAGTTCATCATTGATTTCCACAATTACTCGGAAACGGAAACGGAAGCACGATTCCGATTCAATTCACACTGTATTACTTAACGCCCGGAACTGTTAAAATCATCAAACACATGTGAAATTTTGATATTGAAAATTAAAAGTATCTCATAGTCGATTTCGAATATGACTGTGTCCTTTTTTTGATTAACTTACCGATTATATTCATTAAGATTAAGTACATAGCATTTATCTTCAATACAAGCTACATTAACACAATCCCAATATTTCGATGCTAACACTTCATTAGATAGAAAATGTTGTTTAACACGTAATGGTAATTCACTATGTTCAGGATGATAATACCAAACAAGTGACATTTGAATTTCACCTAAAATAAATTTTTTTATAATTAATTTAAAGAACTTTGTTTTTTCTTCGTCTTACCTGATTCTGGTTCTTCCCAAAACCATTTGACTTTAGCTAAATATGGTGTCATACCATTATGTTCAGCATTCTCAGGACGTAATAAAACGCAATCATCTGATTTAATTATATCTTTCTCTATAACATGTCGAATTGATGAATAACATTCGCGATAAACCGGCGGTTTGTCAGCCTAAAAAAAAAAAGATATATCTATATTCATTTTTTTTAAATAAATCAATTAATATACATCAATTGAAACTAATTTTTGTTCCGATTTTCCAAACAAAGCCCAGTAATGTGAAATTTTTTGTTTTTTTCTTTGATTTGAATTCTTATTTGATCCAACTAATGTAACAGAAGATGGTGAATGTGATCGTTTTGTATTTATTATATTTGTTGATGATTTTGATCGTATTGGTAAAGTTGATGATGAATTTGTACGTGATGTACGAGAATTTTTACCGGTTAATGTTATAAATGTTGTTGCACTAGCTGTTGCTGCTGATACACTACGACGTTTATGATTACGCTTTAAATTTTCACTACGAATTAATAATTCATTATTTGAATTAAGAATATTTGAGACAGGTGAAATAATCGTTGCTGATGTTCCAGTTGAATTTGTTAAACGATGACGTTGATTAGATGGACTTGTATGTAAATTAATACCATATGATTTTGTTGGTGATGTTATGATTGAATTAATTGTATATGGTACTCGATCACCAATTGATTGTGTTGGCGAACTGAAAGAGTAGAACACAAATATAAATAGATAGATTTAGAAATGAAAATATATTTACGTATTTGATTTTGATCCAGAATTAATACGTCCTTTAACTGGCGATGCCTTTTTTGGTGTTATCTTTCTGATAATTCCATCAGATTCATTTATAATAGGTTTTTTTGCTGATAAATGTTTAATAGAAAAATTTAAAGCTTCATTTTCTGTTGTTGGTGATGATAATGATGATGATAAATCATTAGTTGAAATTTGTTGATGTTCTTTTTTAACAACATTATTTACACTTAATGGTAGAATTGTTTTAGTTTCAACAAGTTGTTCTTTATTAACTAAAACACATGATTTTTGAGGAGATAATGGTACTGTTGTTGTTTTAGTTTGATTTGGTGATTTTAATAATGATGATGTATTAGAAGAAGACGATATTGGAGGATTAGGATTATGTATATGATGATGATGATGTGTATGTAAATGAAATGTTAATGCTTCTTTTTTTGGTGATAGAGATGATTTTGATTGTTGATCAAATACAGGTACAATTGATTGTTGTTGTTTAGTATTGCTTGTTGAATTATTTGTATTAATTGTTGATGTTATTACTGTTGATGATTTCTTTTGTTTAGTTTCTAAATGTGTTGTTGTACGATGACGTGTTATAGATGTTTTATGATGAACAACAGGTTGTGGTGGTGGTGGAAGTGCTGATGGTGGTTGAATTAGACAATTAGCTTGTTGACTAAGTAATGATGCTGATGTTGGAAATGTCCAAGCTAAATAAAAATATAAAATATATATATGTGTTTATTATTATTTATGGAGTAAGTAAAAAAAAAGAAAGAAATCATTACATGATTTTAGAAAATAATATGTTTATAGTTCGATAATCAATTAGTGGAACAATAGAAAGCGTTTTTGAAAAGAAAGAAAAAATGCAAGAGAAGCATATCGAACAGAATGAGATAGAGAAAATGTATGTGTATGTGTGCGTGAGTTTTGCTGAAGATCTACATACCAATAGCTGCTATCAGTCAAAAGGTAATTTTTTTATTCTATCTACAATAACCGAACAATATGGTATTGAATAAGAAGGACTATATGTATACAATTAGCTTTTAGAAATTTTCGACTATGTACTTTCATCATGAATAATTTACCATAGATATAATATATTTACAAGCAAAGTCTCATCTCTATTTATAACTGATTACTATTTATGAGACTCAAATGATTCTTTTTCTTTTTTCCCCGCAAATATTGAAATAAAATATAAAGTGAAAAAGAATGTTATATAATAAATAAATAAATAAATAAATGAACTATTTGTATACATATCAAGAAAAAAATTACATGCGAGTCATTCATTGATGCATCTTACCAGGATATTGCCAACAAGGCAACAGAGGATAGAATGAACGTATATCAATAGGAAATGCAGCTGCAGCGGCCGCTGCTGCCGCCGCCGCAGCAGCAGCAGCGGATGGTGAAAGAAAAGCTGGATTTGTTGGATTATTGACATTATTGGATGGGATTGGTGTTGATGTTGTTGATGAATGTGGATGATGATGATGATGATGATCAAGTGACGAAGAAAGTGGTCGTGACGATAATGATGATGATGAAGATGTATTAGCAGTTGTTCCTCCAATAATAGCTGGTGTTATATTTGCAAAAGAATTGATTAAAGGAGTTGATGAAACTGTATGATCTGATACAGTTATAGGTGTTGCTAGAAAAATAAAAATAAATTATAAAATCTAATTTTTTATTTAAATTAAAATTTTACCTGTTACTGTATTTGAGCCCTTTATAGATGCTCGTGATTTTTGAATGAAATTTGTGCTAGTTGTACTAGTATTTGTTGGTTGTTTAAGTAAAGATGTTGGGGGTAATAATGGTGTTGCTTTAGCTGTTGATTTACTATGTGTATTATTACTTGTGGTACCACCTGTTGTTGCTGTACTTGTACCAGCAACTGTTGTTGATGATGAATTAGTACCGCCAATAATTGAACCACCATTATTTGTTGCTGCACTAGTACTTTGATTGCTATTGCTATTATTTTGACTAATAATAATTCCACGAGTTGATTGTACTTGATCGTTTGTTGTTGTTGTAGTTGATGATATGGATGATGAAGCACCATGAAATGATTCAAGTGGAATTTCATGTTCAGGAAAAGGTGGTGATAAACGATCATATAATGCTAAGTCTTGTGTCCATTTAATGAGATTATCACGTTTTGTTGTGTGATATGGAGGTGTTGTACCATGTATACGATCATGTTCAGCTAAAATTGTTTCTGTTAATGATGGATATTTTGAATTAGATGTTGTTGTGGTTGTTGTTGATGGTAATTGATGCATAGGTTTTGTTGAAACAGCATTTGATGATTGAGCATATTCAGTTTTATTGGACGCATTAGCTATTGATGATGCTGGTGCAGCTACACTTGATACAGATGGTGGTGGTGTTACTTTTCGATTTGCTGTTGCTGTAGCTGCTGGTGTTGTTGTTGTAGTCGGTGTAGTTGCTGTTGCCATTGTTGTTGCAGGCGGTGGAGCTGTTATGGGTGCTGGAGGAACAGATGGAACATTAAATTTAAATGGTTCAATAGATGGTTGTTCAGGAGGATCAGGAATAACAGCAATTTGAGGTTCTTCTTTATTTGTAACTGTACTTTTAGTACGACGTCGTCGAGTAGTTGATGCTGAACGTTCATTAGCTAAGCTATAATTAAAACGACTACGTTCAATTTCATTTTGTTGCATAATCATTGCTGATGCACGTGAACTTGCTTCACGACGTGTACGTGTATGAATATTTAATTCAGGTTGAACAGGTTGTGGAACAGGTTTAACATCTTCTATTGATGAATTATTTGATACTTTACGTTTACGTCGATTTACTGGTGGTTTTGTTTTTATTTTTGTACGATGACGTGATGGTCGAATATTTTCATCATCACTATTTTCTTCTTCACTTGTATCTTTATTGTCACTAGTATTGTCATCTGAAGTTTTATCATTATCATTATTATTATTGATATTATTATCATTGTCGTCATCATCATCATCATCATCATCCTCGTCATTTTCTTCTTGTTTGTCATTATCTTCACTACTTTCATCATCAGAGGTAGCTATTGCTGCTGCAGCTACTTTTCGCGCACGTGTTGAACGTGTATTAGCTGCTGCTTGTTTCTTTGTCACTTTTGGTTTAGTCTAGAAAAAGAAATATAAAAAAAATTAATTCTATTAAAATTTTATTTTTTGTTTTACAAACTTTTGTCTTTTTTCTATTAGTCGTAGTTGGATTATTTCGTGACATAGGACTACTATTTGTGGAACGTAATTGTCTTTTGGTTGTTTGTTGTTTTTCATTTGATGGTGGTGAAAGAACATTGGTACAATATTGAAGAAGAGTTGCAGCTGTTAAACCAGACAAACGTTTTTTTCTTGGTGTTGTTGTTGTTGGTGGTGTTGGTACAGTAGTTGGACGTGTTGATGAACGTGTACTTGTTGACGAACGCTGTTGAAGACGACGTTTTGTTGGTGAAGATTTTTTATTTGTTTTTACTGGTGTTTTCTTTTGTACAGCACCACTACTAGCACTACTACGTGTAATTTTACGAATAGGAACAGATTTTTTCTTTGATTTTGATTTATTATTCGATTGAGAAAATGAAGAAGCAGCAGATATTTTAGCTGCACGAGCGGCAGCGACACGAGCACGTTGAGACATTAGTTAAGAAAAGGAAAAATGCACGTGTTCTGACAAATATTATTAAATTATATTTGGTTATTTATTTTTTTTACAAATATTGGTGGCTAATGCATCTAAAATAATGAACATTAATTAAAATAATATATATATATATGAATCGATGATCATTTGCATGGCAAAATTTTCTATACCATAGAGAATAAACAACAAAAAAGCAATTGCCATTGGGCTCGTTTATGAGTCCTAAGAGAGTTTTGAAGAGAAGGATACTTGTTTATATATTATCATAAAAATACATCTCAACTTAATCTTTAGATATTTTATTGAAAATATTAGTTAATAAGTAAAAAATAATTCATATTAAAAATTTTTTATAATTATGTTAAAGATGTCGCTATTTTTCAGTAGAACGATGCGTTACATACATCGATCACACAGATACACATAAGAAACAAAAAATTGTTGAATTCTTTACTCGCAATTTTTTTTCTGCACAAACAAACTTCGAATAGGAGTCAAAGAAATTGAACATTGGCATCCAAATAATTGTTGATATAATATATTAAATCATGATCCAATATCTAAGAATTTCAAATGTACGTTTTCTCTTAAACGGCTGTAATCTAACGATACAGCAATTTCTATATATTTTCAAAAAAGAAATATGGTTATGAAGAAAGACGAAATATTCGTTCTAGCATATCCGCCCATACAAATCGTATACAATCTTGTTATTGTGTATATAATAATTACAGGCATATACAATCGTAATACAGAGCTTTGTGAACCAATCGACAGCAATGATATTATTTTCGAGCGTATATATCCATTCTATTTACTTGTTTCTATATACGATATGTCACAATCGTTACTTCATTCCTTTTATATCGAATATGTATAAATCAATTCGATTATTTTTCCGATTAAATATCTCAGTGAATTACTGGCTAAAATCATAATACAAAAAAAACAAAATATATTGAGTTGAAAATATCTCTCAAGAAAAGTAGAACTAAATATTTGTTTTATTTTTCAAATGAAAAAAGTAAACACAGCAAATATACATTTAGGATTGCTTTATACAAAAAAAAAAGAAAGAAAATAATCTATGAAGTTTAAGCAATCATTGAATTTATATACAAAATGATATTTTAATTTGTTTTATCTTAATAACTAAATTAAATTTTTGATAATTATAAAGATGATGATATTAGTAATTTTTTACATTCCGTTCCTTCTTCTATAAGAAAACAATTAAACAAAAAGTTAGAATTATCATTTTCTACCTTCTAGTAATTCATCTGATCGACATGAAACATTTAAATCAATAAATTCATCGGTTTGATGACATCGAAATACCAAACGAAAATCAAGTTGAGATTTTTTTAATTGATAATTAGCAATCTTATTTTTAGCATTATTACCAATGAATGGATATACAATACCATAGTTATCTAAAGAAATAATAAAATAAAATAAATCTGTAAATTAATTTTAGCTTACCAAATAAATCTAAATTATTCATAACTTTAAGGTTACATTGTTTGAGACGTGTAAGAATGATATTAGGAAATCTTAAAAAAAGAAAATAATATAATTCAATGAAATTTTAAGATTACATACTGTTTTGAATGCGAACAAATTTCTTCTTTATTCAATTTGTAATAGATTGATGGTGGTTTTATTATAACATCAGCATGTGTTTTTTTCTTTGGAGGTGAATATAGAAGTGGATATGGATGAATAAATGAAAGATTTTGATAAGGAACTGTAAGACGAGTAACACGAATGAAAAATTCATTGGAATCAGGTAAATTAATAGGAAGCTAAAAAATAAATACATCTGTATAATATCATTAGTAAAGTTTCTTCTTTAGAAGAAATACCGCATTTGTTTATTTCTAATGACAAGCAATTAAACTATATCATCTATCCGAAACGATAATATGTATTTGTAAACTAAAAGGCAACCTAACCTTTTCTCATTTTAATATCATCATTCATAATGAGTGCATAAACTAATCATCATATCATATGCTATTTATAGGTATATTTGATAGACGAAATATTTCTTTTTTCTATTGCTATCTTATTTACATTATAACTTAATAATTGATATATTTATAGTGAAGAGGTATAGTTCAGTTGAACTATATATATGTTTCATTTCTGTATATGACTTACATCGATTGTCACATGTCGACCATGTGTTCCTTTCAAATAACGTCCGGAAATATTCTTTTTCGTTTTCTTCTTCGTATTTACTATATTACCGTCAAGTGGTGAATTTGTAATTTCACTTAAATAACGAACATGATAGATAGGTTCAGGAGGATTACTAAATGATATTGAAAAACACGAATGATAATACGAATCAAATGCAATCTAAAATATAATAATTAATAT